AATGGGATTTCGGCGGCGGAGGGTGCTTCCAGGATATTGCGCCGGGGTGTCCTGATGAGCCATGTGGCGCAAGTGCGGCCCGCCCGCCTTCGGCCGCCACGTGTTGGCCGGCGAACGCCCCTGCGAGACCCCCTGCGCAAGCCAGACGGGAAATGCGACGAAGATTTCACTTTTCCTCGCGCGCTTTCATTTTGCAGCGCTTTTCTTTTGGTTCTCATTTTATTTGCGTGCAGGTCCCGTATTCGAGTCACGTCGCGATCGTGCGTGGGCAGCAGCGCCGACAGTGTTACGCGTCGACGAAGTGTAACGCGTGGGGCATGGGCAAGTGTAACGCGTGGGCCAGTAAGTGTGACGCGTGCGCAAGTAAGTGTAACACGTGGGCAAGTGTAACGCAATGTCAGGAGTGTGACTCACGATGTGCGCCGCGCGCAGCACAGGGCCGCGGCGCGGCGGGGATGGCAAACATTTATACACGTCATCGGCTCGGGCGGAGGGGGAGGGGAGGGGATATATGATAACCTCGAGACCCTGTTTATTCGCTGGAGATTCCAGGAGGGCTTCTGGAGAGGCGGGCGCTGGAAGCGCTCTGGGGGTGGGAAGCTTAGGCCCACTTTAAAGGGGATGATGCCTTTACGATCAAGTCGGGACACCCACCCAACGCGCGCCGCCGCCCGCCGCGCGTGAGGTGCCCGGCTGGGTGGTTTGAGTCCGTAAAGTGTCAAGGGCCACAGTCCGACTGACGGCTGACGGGACCGGTTCAGCAGCTGCCGCAGCGGGTTGCGTTCACGTTTACCTCCCTCTTGCACAGGCGCGGGTCGCAGGTGCAGCAGAGAGTCCCGGGTGCCGACACGCGCCGCCGACACCTGGACGCTTGACGGCCGCGGCGGCTGGCGGGGGAGTCCCCGGGGAGAGATGTGTCACGGTGACGCGGTCGGTGACGCGGGCGCTCTTCTCCCCCGCCTCCCCCAACAACGTCCCCGCCACCCCCGACGGGGTGAGGAGAGAAGGTCACAACGCCACGGAGTAAACTCGAGCAAAAGGACAGACATTTGTTGTTCCCCCACAGCTTACAAAATTACTAGAAAGCGACATACACTGCTGCAGGTTCAAGGTGTTGTCGTTGTTGATCAACAACGTCCAGTCGAGCGCTCGTTGTTTAAACATTTCCAATTTCCTGTCGTGTGTTGATCTGTCTTCGGCGCCCCCATGTGCCGGCGCGGGGAGGCAACCGGTGGGGGAGGAGGAGGGAGGCAGGGAGGCCCGTAAATGGTGATTGTGGGTGCAAGTGTGCAAGCGAGGTCGGAGGGGAGGGGAGAGGACGGGAGCGGCGGGAGGCGAGGGGTGGGGCACTTCGGATGGCGATGCTTGATAGGGATTTGGACGCGGAATGAGACTTTCCCTCTGTCTCTGCTGCCTGCGCTGCCTGCGCTGCCGGGGCCGCCTGTGGGTCGCCTCGCCTCCCCCACCTCGCGGCGCGGGGCTGCGGGGGTGGCGGCGGGAGGGGCGGCGCGAGGGGCGGGCTGGGGTCCCCGTCATGCCGATGCTGTCCCTGCCCTGCATGCCGCCACACAAACAGGCTGGGCGTCAGCGCGCGCGGACTGCCGGCCGGAGCTCCTCGTCCACGTGCACCGGCACCTCCGCGAACACCCACCGCAGCACCTCGTCGCACCGGGGAGGCTGCCGTCCGGACGCGCGAGTGCGAGTGATTGTGCAACGTAGGCGGGGCCGCGAGCCGGGCCAGGTCGGACCTCCCGCTGGTCGTGGTCGTCGCGGTCGAGCCGCGGTCGCGCAGCCGCCATCCTCGAGGATAATAGACTGACATGATTGGATCCGCGTGACACGCTCGACCCTCCCTCCCGCTCTGCCCGGAGGCGGGGCGAGTCCCTCGTCGGGACGAGCACGGGCAGCACCAGGACCATGTGAGGACGACACCTGCGGCGAGCCCGCCCCCCGAGCACGCCCTCCGTGATCTCGTTAGGGACCACTGGCCGCGGCCGCCCCCGGGCAGCAGGGGGTCGGGATGGCTGGTCCAGGAAGCCGTCGTCGAGGAGGCGGGAGGCTGCACCGCGACCTAGGCCCCGACCACGGCCACCTGCGCGGTGACGGCGGTGACGTCACCTCTCGAGGGCCGCCCGCACCGCACCGGTCGATATCCTCTCCGAGCAGCTGAAGAGGGGCGCCGGAAGGAGGAGAGAAATAAAAAGGACAAAGAAAAGGCAAGATAATCTCTCGCATAGCCGTTTGGCACCGAGTTGGCCTTGTTTTCATTCATTGGCGCCGCTCTGCCTCCCTGGGGGCCTCCGAGGCCATCGTTACGAGCGGCGTGTAGAGCGGAGTAATCAACGGCGGGACCAGGCGCCGGCAGCCTCGGCGGCTCGGCGGCAGCGCGGGGGTGTGCGGATACAAGTTAACCCTTCCGAGCCCTCCCGCACGCACCACGCCTCCCCTAACCTCGCCGCGCCCCGCGCCCCGCGCCCCGCGCCCACCCTCTCCACGGGATGCTGAATCGGCATGCGCCTGCGCGTCGGAGCGAGAAAAGAGTCTGAGTCATCTGAGCAGGTAATGACCCAGCAGAATGCAATCAGCGCGGGCTGCGCCCCTCCGGCCCCGCGGCGTCGGGGAAGTGATGGATGACGGGGACGTGCGCGTCCTGGGGCGCGTCCAGCGCGTCCTCCAGCCTCGGCCAGCACCTACATGACCGCCGTGCGGAGGACATGCTCGCCGAGGTGACCTTCCCCACGGGCCCCGGCCCCGGGCCCAGGGGAGGACAGCTTGGCGTCCAGCACGCCGCCGGGGACGTCGTCAACCTCGGCACCGTGGTGCACCGGCGGCCGCGCAAGATTGGCGGCTCCAGGATCGCCGTGCTAGCCGCCAACCGCAAGTCCAACGCGCAGCTCGTGGACTGGGACTCGCCCTCCACGTACACCGGCACCGTCAAGAGACGCCCCTCCGTCGGCGACCGCAACAGCTGCGCGAGCACCTCCAGCATGGGGACCTCGTGCAGCAGCGGGTCGACGCCCCCCACGCCGCTGTCGCCGTCCTCGCCGACGAGCCCGGGCACCGAGGCCTCGCGCCGCAACGGGAACATCCCTGGGCCCAGCAGGCTCAAGAAGCCCAACACCCTGGACCTCAAGCGCGTCCCGGATGACGGCGAGCAAGTGGCGCTGCGGCGCGCCGACCTCCGCCCTCCAGGCACTCGGCGGGGTGTCCTGGGCACCGGCACCATCGCTCGCGTCGGGAGGACGTCGCGGACCTCCCCGGGCGTGGACAACCTCAGGTCGCCCGAGGTGTGCGACAACGCGCCGGCAAAGAGACCGTCCCCGACGAGCACGCGGGCGGCGCGAGTCTCCAACGCCAACGGTTCCGACTCGTCACCTTCCCCCGGCGAGCTCAACGGGAACACCGTCCGGGCGGGCGGCCAGCGGCAGCCCTGGCCGCCGCCCACCACCTCCCCGCGGAGCCTCCAGGGGGAGCCGCGGGGCGGCCCGCTCAGCCCGTGCAGGACAAGAAGCACGCCGTCTCTGTCGCCGTCGCCGCCGGAGCTGGGTGCGTCCCTGTCCGCGCTGCTGCTGCGGGAGCTGGAGCGAGCCTCGGCCTCGGGACTCAGCGGACAGAAGGGACTCAAGGTAACCGCGACGGGGAGGGCCAGGCCTCGGGCCAGGCTCTCGGAGAAGAGGCTGGGTGGGGGAGGGGGCGAGGGGGAATAGCCTCATTGTGTTGCACACCGCCATAATCTATCAGAGGTGTGAGTGCGCACTTCCTCGCCGCCCTCACCGGGACCCTCTCGCCTCGAGTGCTTTTTCTTTATTTCTCACATTCCCATTACATTTCGGCCCTTTGATTCGCTGCCACGCCCTGCTGGGGGCGGCGCGGGGCAGGGGCAGGGGGCGGGGGCGGGGGGCGGGGGCGGGGCGGGGGCGCGCGCCCGACAAGTGGCGGCCACGTCCATCCAGTGCGTCCGGCCGGATAACAAATGGATATGGGTTTCCCTTGTAAGATCCCGGGAGTGTTCCGGTCCGAACGGCGTCCGCCACGCACAGGCCGAGCGCGCCCCGCGGCCAACAAGGAAACAATTTAAGCACCGCATGAGGGTCGTGAGGGTGGCCGTGATCGAGCCGGCCCCGCGAGCCCACAAATCTCGCCGTGCGAGGCGAGGGCCGGACGGGAGCAGACGCGTTTGGACCACTGAGCCTGCATCTGCTCAAAGGTTGAGGTTATGGGAGGCGAGGATGAATGGGAACGGGCAATGCAATGCGCCCTCCCGAGGGGAGGGAAAGGTGCGCCATGGATTTTATAAAGTTGAGATTGCACACTTTGCCTCCATGGTTTGAACAAATGTCGTCTCATTTACTCACCACCGATGTTTCCTGTTCCATCGTCAAGCAGGCCAGCTAAGGTTCAGAAGTTCAGACACGCAGATTGACGCCGCTGCTACTGATCTGCCGGAAACAGGGTCGGAAACGAAACAAAACGGGTGAAGTGAGCAGTTTCTCATACGTGTTGGGGCGTGCGTCAGGCGGGCATTCCCTTTCATCTATCCATCTATCTTTCTAAGTCTGGTCTGTTTCTGTTTGCTGAAATGCACTTCGCTGTTCCAGAAAAAGTAATTCATTTAGTCTCGTTACTTGCGAGTTCTCGCGAACGTTGCGTCGCGTCGTCGCGTTGTATCGCCAAAAAACTAAGAAGTTCTCTATCTGTGTCGCGTGGGGATGCCTGCATCGTTAGCAGTAATACCAAGGCAGGCTTTAGAGGTTATGATGGACCCAGTGACTTCCCACCTGTTGTTATCAATGGGTCTTTGGTACGAACGGCACTGGAAATGACCTCTCCATCCCAATAAAGGTTTGTGTTGCATCTGTAAACTGAAAAAATGTTATTTGTGATTGTGATATGGTGATACACTGTGACACCTCAGACCATTCGCCCCACGTCAAAGAGTTGTGGGTTCTCAGACTGAAATTCCCTTCCTGTAATTTACTTGGAATATACATTTTCTTCATATTCCTACCTACAAGTGGCCCTCTGCATGTGGTTTCTTCTAATTTTTTGTGGAACATATGAAGGTACGTGTTGGTGTTTGCAAATGTGATATTGTGTTTCCTTAACGTACTGCACTAATACTCAAAAATATGAAGCACTATCTTGAAACAATTATTTGTAGTTACCATTTACTTTAACAAGTTATAGCACAGGGTCATATATTATTTTTGTTTGGCACCTTTTCGAAATAGCAATCGAAACAGTCACATCAATTTACATGGCCAATAGTGGGTTGCGCAATGTTATACTATGAATCACTCCTTTTGGTTTATGTTTATGATGCAAACATTTTAGTAGCATTTTAGTAGCATGAGTTTGAAAAACCCGACGCCTCACTCAAGGTAAAAAGAGAAATCGAACTTCATCTATACCTTCAATGTTTACCATTAAAAACCAAACCATGCTCCTCACACTTCGTCTGTAGCTATAAAGCATTCCGATAAAGCTGAAATGCAGAAGAATGCGAGGAACAAGAAAACGGAAGTCACCATGTTAAAGCAAAGCAATTTCCGTTTTCTTCTTCCCCGCATTCTTCTGCATTTCAGCTTAACCGGAATGCTGTATTCCTCCTTGATGCTGTTTTGTTGCACACCAAAGTTTGTAGGGGTGGGTTTGAAGGGGTGTCCGTAGGTCACGTGATTTGTGAGTGACTGAGAGGTGCCACGGCTTCATGGCTTCATACAAAACATCACTGGATGCGTCTTGAGATGGGGAGTCAGGACGTTTTGTAAAACAATTTAGCGCCTCCCAGTCGCTCACAAATTGTGTGACGAATGGACATTTTTGATTTTGACCATTTCTCCTGGAATTGCCCAGGGTAGGTAGGGCTCCAAATATAATGGGACACTATTTTCGTCCCTGAAAAGGAGATGCTTTTAAGCACATGCACTACTTCACTTTGACTATTCGCATCCGGGCTGCTGATGTACAAGCAAACTTTTCCAAACAATCAAATCTTCGCCATAATCTTTTCCGAGCCCGAACACAGGCCGAATGACTGTCCGTTCTCCCCACTTGGACTTGTGGTGCGTGCACGACGATGACGCAGGGCCGCAGGTGCGGCACATGCATCTCGCCGTGCCACACCGGCCGCCTGGGCCCGGCGCCCCCGCGACTGCCGCGGAATGGGCGCCGGGGGACTCGGCCGCCGCTCCCACTGCTCCCGCC